GCAGCCTCTATGGCTTCATCCCTTCCCTCCACCACTGCCACCAGCTCCGCCGCCTCCGAGGCGGGCCATGCACTTCTCCCGACGCCCAGGAGATGGTGCTGTGGATTTTGGATCGGGAGCGCCGCGGCCGGGGCCGGGCCGGTAGGACCCGCGGAGCCCCAGCGGGACCCTGCGGACACCCGGAGGGTCTCCGCGGGAATCCTCAGGTGCTCCTGCTCTCTCTGAAGCCCTCCAGAATTCCCTTTACAGCTCTAGCGGTCACCCCAGAGGCGCAGGGCCGGGCTGTCAGGGTTTCGTTCCTCACCCCAAGAAGCCTCAACCTCGCTGCGCTGTGGGCCAGGTTCACCAACGCCGCTTTTGCACCCCCACTAAGGACCGGAACGGAGGGAGTGTTTACCTCCGTTTCGCAGCACCTCGTCACACTAAAGTCCCCCAAGCCCGGTTGTACACACACGTCCCCCAGCCCTGCCCGCTCCCCCGGGCACCGGGGAGCTCCGCCGGGCGTGCCGGGGGCTGAGAGCATCGTCCCCTTCTCATCCCCTACAGGATCCTCCTGCCACCCGGAGCCCCCGGCGGGCTGCGGGCCCTGCCTGCAGCTGGGAACAGCTCCCAGGCGAGTCCGCCGGCCTCCTGGGGCTGCCTCTGAGCAGACACGCTCCTCTGAGGATGTTTGCACCACGAGATGCAGAGGGGAGGGTAATTTTATTTGTTTTTACTGTTTTTTTTCCTACACTTCGAACTTAAATAAAGTTTTCTTCACATAGAAGACAACATAGCTGCAGCTGCGGCGAACGAAAGCGCTCTCCAAAGCTTGATTTAGTGCTGGAAAAGTCGGGCAAATCCTGCATGGGGGACTGCCCCTGCTGCACTCAGAGCTCGACTGTAATCTCCCCCAGGCTCGGCGTGTCAGAGGAAGAAGAGACTCCGGACTGAGCCACTGGAAGAAGAACCGGAAAGTTGGGGAAGATTCCAAGCCCTGCTCTTGCTACGGGGCCGTCCGACTGCAGCAGGCACACGCCGTCCCTCTGCTCAGAGCAGGCAGGGAGAGACTAACCGCCTGACTAAATCCATCTGCATTCAGCTCCTGGGCGTCTGACGGCAAAATTTGGAACGTGTCTTTCATCACGGAAACTTTTCTGCAAACCCAACCCTGGGAAGAGGGAAAAGGCAATTTTATTCTCTTACAGGTGGGGAGCGGAACAAAATAGCTCTCGAGCACATCTTGCTAAAGACGCCACAGAAAATCAGCAATCACTGGGCTGTCCGCTCTCATCTGTATCCTGGGACCTTCTCCAAGTCCTTGCCCCCTGCTCCTGCCTCCTGCCCCGCCCAGGACGGCCCGTGCCCGGCCGCTCACAGCGGAGCCTGGGGGATGCTCCGGGGCGGCAGGCGCAGCCCTTCTGCATCTCGGCTCCGGGCTGCTCATTTCCCGAAATAATGACCCAAGTGTGGAGGAGCTGGTGGCAGAGGGCTGCGGTACAATTAAACCAGGTAACGAGACGCTGGGCAGATGTGTTTTCATTGCGCTGTAAGATAAACGCAGTGTTAAATGCCTGACAACTTCCCAGAAGCAATCAGCAAAAGTTTACGAGTGCATAAACCTCAAAGACCATTCCTCGGTATTTTTATAAGCGCCGCATTTAAAGCTTCTATAAATTCTTCTGGTTGCTTCCAAACTAAAGTTCCCGTAGACTATTAAACAGACACTTCTTCGTGAGGTGGGGAGAGACAGATCATAAGATGCGGGTCCAGGGAAGGCGAGAGGGGCTCTCTTTTCGTCCCCTCCACTTTGCTCTCCCAACTCTTTCCCACACCTCCCACAAGGTAAAGTTTGTAGAAAAGTTGGCATCTTTAGAGCACGACAAGTCCTAGATGAGCACATCGGCAAGATGAAGGGATTTATCCATGTCTCAGGAACAGGGGACAGACCTAGTAGGGAGGGAGAGGAAAAAAATGAAGAGCAAGGGAAAGAAGGAAGGAAAAGAAAGGTGGTTGAAAAGATGGGATGAAGCAGGTAAAAGTCTGCGAGCAGATCTAGGGGCAGATCATGAAGACTGACCAGTGGACATGGAAGAACAGAAAAAGCTTAGACGGAGAGGGAGATTTCAGACGCAGAGGGCAAATCTAAGCGAACGCAGGCGAGGGGGGAAGGAGGCTGCCGCGGGGGTCGCCGCCGTGCCCCCGTTCCCCCGCCCCGACGGCACGGCCCGGCAGCACCCCTCGCCGATCGGGGCAACCGCGGTGGCCGCAACCCCGGGGCACGGGACCTGCCGCTTGCGGAGAGGCAGTGTACCTCGTCCCCAAAGTTGGAGAAAAAACTAGACAGCGCTAGTGAACCCACAGATCACCGGGAGAGATCAAGCCGGAACCCTCTGTCTTCGAAGAAATAAGATGAGGGGAATGAAATGTTCCCACTAGCCATCAAATTATAATAACAGTATCCGTCATCCTTAAGTGACCACACGAGTTTTACAAGTTGGATATTAAACAGATTAAATAATAATAATAATAAAAATCCCCAAATCCCTGTTGCGAACATGAAGTCCTTTGTTTATGATCCCGAGGAAAATGAAGTTGCTAATTGAAAAACAATAAACGTAAAATGCCTTTGGATTAATAATGATAGAGGTTAACGGTGACATCCATCCCTTGGAAAGGGGGAGGGGAGCGAGGCGCTCGGTGACTGTGCGCTTGGACGGCGACCAGGGACAAGCGCAGCAGCCAAATGGGGCTGGGGGGGCGGGGGGTGAGACCCTGCCTCTTCGGAGGGCTCGGCTTGTATGTTCGCCTCTGATCCGGAGACACGAGGTGAGGAAGGTCTGTATTGTAGTCATGTCCTCGCTAGATGAAATCTCAGTCAATTACTCTGAAATCTGCAGCTTGGCTTCTTTTCATTCTTTCCAGGTGAAAATTCAAACGTTTTCTGTTGTCGCCTGGTCCTTTCTTTCCTGAAACAAGGCACCCAACTGTTCTGATATTACCATTCAAAAACGGGTTCTGTGGCAAACCTCATTTGTGAATCTATTACAGAGATTAATAGATTATTTCTCCTTTTTCAACTAATTCTCAGTGGGGAAATTTAACCATATGGTAAGGAGAGAATTAGAATTTCATCACATTAGAGCAAAATGTAATGAAAAGAGTCCAACACCTGGGGCCAACTCCGAAAGACACAATTAAAAGGTTTTTAATGAAACCAGAGAAACCAAAAAATTTTCATAGCCTTCAGTTAATCCTGCCACATAAGAATGATTTGGAAGTGTTGGGAAATATTGTTTTTTACTGATGTCATAAGAATGAAAACCTTCCACTAAATACTCTGAGTGCTAACAGAAAGGCGAGAGCAAGCTGCTCGCCTCAAGCATCAGAGGAGTAGTGGGACAAAATTCTGACCGACCCTCGGGTTTCCACTTCAGCTTTTGGAAGAGTGCAGAAGAAAGTGTTCCCGGCTCCGAGGAGAAGCCCCGAGAGAGGAGCAGGGGGTCTGAGTGTCCGGATGACTGAGGCCGCCTCGCCCTGACACCCGGCGGCATCCCGGCGCTGGGGAGAAGAGCGGGGGTGCTTCGGCCGAGTCGGGCTCGCTGGAGGGAGGCAGGAGGGCACGGACCTGGCAAAGAGCTGGTCAGTCACAATAAAAAATAAATTGTAAAAAGTTTGGTGGGTTTTGCCCTTTCTCTTCCCGCCCTCTCTCTTCCCAAGATCCGTTCATTTTCAAGGTAACTGATGGGGCTTTATGTTTTTTATAGGGACACAGGGGATAATCACTCGCAAGCAGCAATCTGCTACTTGAAAAGGGATAAGGGAAGGAGGAAGGGAACCTCCCCATAGTTTGGTCTCCTTTTGTTGGAAGGGGGGTGGGGAGAGGGAGGACTGGGGACCACCCGCCTCCCAAGGAAGCAAGGTGGACTTTGGCAGTGGGCAGGAGTGGGCACAACGGTTGGGATTGCTCCGGGGATTTTTAATTTTATGTTTTTCTTTCCCAGGCGATGCTTTTTGGGAAGACGGGTGGGGGTGGGAGGGAGCTATAAGTTAATGTAAATGCAGGGGGTGGGTGGGCTGGGGGGAGAGGGTGTCACTCCCGACTCCACGGCTAAGTTAGCAGAAGTCTGCTGGCATCACTCGGAAGGAGAAGTGTTGAAGTGGGCTTTTCTGCAGTGCAGGGCTGTAATTTGCTGAAGGAGGCAAAGAACATCCTTCGATCTAAGTAGGGCTTTTAGTGTGCTCATTGATGAGTGAAAGTCGCCACACATGTCAAGCTAAAGGCAGTTGTTGGGTTACTAACAGGACACAACGTCTTGCAAACATATGCGTTAAGCTGTGTATACAGATGGCAGGGAGAATAATGGAGCAGGCGCCTCTTATAAAGCTCTAGCTGCTGCCTGTCTTCAGACCTGGGAAAAGAAACTATTCAGACTCAGGGCCAGATAGCGCCTGGGATTGTTTGTTACCGTTTTAATCCTATTAATTAAAACGTTAACCTGATTGGGTAGAAAGCTCTGTCCCAACAGGCGAGTCTTCTTCATAATAACCTACTCTCAGAGATAATGATGTAAAAGACTCCCCCGTCTGCGGCGGCTGCTGGTTGATGGGTCCGGAAATCTCTTGAAGGTGAATCCAAGCAAGATAAACGGTGGAAGCGGCTCCACTGGCAGCGCACAATGCCCCAGCGCGGCGCCTGCTGAGGGCGAGCCGGAGCCGCAGCCGGAGCCACAGCCACAGCCCGAGCCACAGCCGCTGCCGGAGCCGCAGCCCGAGCCGGAGCCGCCGCCCGAGCCGGAGCCACAGCCGGAGTCGCCGGAGCCGCCGGAGCCGCAGTCCGAGCCGCCGCCGGAGCCAGGGAAGGGGCAGCCGCGGCGCCGGGCACGGCGCAGCTCCGGCGGGAGCCGGGAAGCGATTTCTGCCAGCGGGACGCCGGGGAGCCGCCCGCCGCGGCGCGGAGCCTTGGAGCAGCGGGCCGGGAACTGAGGGGGGCGGAGGAGGCGGAGGCGAGCCGGGCGCCGATGGAGCGGGCGCTGGGGCTGCCCGCAGAAGAGGACCTCTTCCACAAGAGCCTCGCCGCCTCGGCCAAGCGCATGGAGTCCGCCTTCCGCTCGCCCCCGGGGCTCGACCTTTCCCACCCCCGCGACCGCCAGCCCTCGCCGCTCGCCTGCTACGAGGCGTCGGAGCCCGAGGCGCTGCTGCAGCCCGGAGTCGGCGGCGACCCGCTGGCTCTGCCGCCGGGCTCCGTCTGCGTCAAGTACGGCGAGAGCGCCAGCCGCAGCTCGGTGGCCGAGAGCAGCGGCGGCGAGCAGAGCCCCGACGACGACAGCGACGGCCGCTGCGAGCTGGTGCTGCGCGGCGCCGGGGGGGACCCGCGCGTCGCCTCGCCGGCGGCGGGCGGCGGCGGAGGGGGGGGCGGGGGGCTGAAGGCGGCCGAGGGCAGCTGCTCCAACAGCCACGGGCACGGCGGCAGCAAGAAGTCCAAGGAACAGAAGGCGCTGCGGCTCAACATCAACGCGCGGGAGCGGCGGCGGATGCACGACCTGAACGACGCGCTGGACGAGCTGCGGGCGGTCATCCCCTACGCGCACAGTCCCTCGGTGCGGAAGCTCTCCAAGATCGCCACGCTCCTCCTGGCCAAGAACTACATCCTGATGCAGGCGCAGGCCCTGGAGGAGATGCGGCGCTTGGTGGCTTATCTCAACCAGGGCCAGGCCATCTCGGCCGCTTCCCTGCCCAGCTCCGCCGCGGCGGCGGCGGCAGCGGCGGCGGCGCTGCACCCCGCCCTCGGCGCCTACGAGCAGGCGGCCGGTTACCCCTTCAGCGCCGGGCTGCCCCCCGCCACCTCCTGCCCGGAAAAATGTGCCATCTTCAACAGCGTCTCCTCCAGCCTCTGCAAACAGTGCACGGAGAAGCCTTAAGCGCCGCCGCCGTGGCCGCCCCCCGCCGCCGCCGCGGTCCCGGGGAGCGGCGACAGCCGGCGGTGCGGTCCCGGGCCGGGGGGCGCGGAGGCGGCGGAGGGACTGACGGCTGCCCGGCCCCGCCACCCTCTGCCCGGACTCGCCTCGCCTCGCTCTTCTCCTCGGGCGCCGCCGAGACGGGACCGCGACGGGAGCCAGCGTGCGTGCGGCCGCGGGAGGGGGCGCGGGGCCGGGGGTGCCGCGGGGAGGAAGGAAGGCCCGGCCCGGGGGCGCCGGGGGGACTCGCTGCGCGTCCGGACAAAGGAGAGGCCGGGAAATAGCAGGCCGGGCTGGGAGCCGGGGCTATCGCCGGGGACAAATCAGAGAGGGCACTTGAACGTAGATTTTTTTTTTTTTTAATTAATTATTAGCAGTATTATTATTATTATTATTATTCTGAGCCAGGAAACAAACAAACTTGAAATGTAAACTTATTATTTAAGTGACTCGCAGAAACAAAGAGACTGGACCATTGCTATGGAAGACTTTGTATTTTTTATCGTCTCTAAACTTTGATCCTGTGAAAATGCGCAAAGTTTGGTGAGAGTGATTTAAAAAATCGAGAGAGTTACAAAAAAGACAAAAAATAACCGATCAAAACCCCTACTCCGTGTCGCTGAAAGTATCGCATTTTTAAAAGAAATATTTATGTGCACCTTGTTTCTTTCCACTTTGCAATGATGTACGAACAAGACATGCTATTTATTTGTTATTCTTTAAAATGACCCTTCCACGCCAACAATATTTATCATGTGTTAAGGTCATGGGTCTTATGTGCAGTTACTTTAAATGCTTCTAAAATTCTGTTTATGGATTAACTTAAACTGTGTGCCAAGTGTTTAAAACATTTATTTGCCAACAACATATAAGCAGAAATGTTGATGTATCCGAGCTGCTTAGGTTTATGAAAGGTCATCTGGATTTTAAGTTGCATCATCCCTGTATTTAAATTGAGCTTTAATAAATTGCTTCAGTCCAAAAATTACAGGAAAAGTGTATTCTTAATTGCTCAACCAACTGATTTTTGAAAGGGTATTCTTTGCATTATAACAGGTAATAACTATTTACTTTTACAAGGCATCAGAGCAATAGCTGCTACAAGAACATTTGCCAAGCCAATGTTTTCCCAGGCGCTGTGTTTTCGAAGGTATAATTTAAACCGCTTTAAATGTGTGTGTAAATTATTCTGACTGTGGATAATTATTTAAGTTGAAATACTTTAAATACTTTAGGCTAATTTACAGAACGCGTGGAATTCTTCTCTTCCTTTTTCAGGGGATGTGGGGGGCGGGTTTTTGATTTTTTTTTTTTTTTTAAGAAAACTGAGAGATGAAAAGCAAGAAGTAGCTATTTACCCAAAGTGAGCCTTCAGTTTGAGTTTGCATGGCTGGGTGGCTGTCTCTCTGCCATTTGTAAATCAAGGATTTTTTAAAATTATTTTATTTTTTTTTCCTTTTCAAAAAGAGTCCTGCTTTTTTCCACTACTTGCAGATAATACAAATTCGGACTGTCAGGTTGGATGGCAAAATAGGAGCCATGATGGATCTGTTGGCAGGTCACGGATGTGTAAAGAGTGATATATATTAAATAGGTCAATCAGATTATGACAGCAATGTACGATCGTTTGTATGTGTATCTATGTCGGAAAGAATCTTTATTAAAATATTTTGAACAAACGCTTGTATTACGCTGTGCTTTGTTAAGCATTTCTATCCAGATTAAAGGAGGTGGATGGTGGGGGGTGGGTAGTTTTCTTTCCTTTGCCCGAGTGAGCCCCAGTACCCTCCCCGTCACCCCACTCGCGGCTCCGGCTGTCCCAGGCAGGGAGCCGAGAAGTTCCTCCCTGGCTTCATTTCTCCCGCTCCCGTGGCAGGCGGCCCCCGGCGCTGCGCGGCAGCCGTGGGGCAGTGCCGGGCCGGGCCCTGCCCAACCCTGCCCAACCCTGCCCTGCCCGGCCCGGCCCGGCCCGGCCCGGCCCGCCCGTCCCGCGGCTCCACGCCCGCCCCGAGCCGTGGGGCTGGATGCGCCGCGGGGTACGCTGCAGGACCGCCCCCCTGCCTCCTCCCAGTCCGCCGAGTTTTGGAGCCGCCCCTCCCCTCGTGCACCCTCCGCTCTGCCCCAAACCCGAGGGCAGGGGAAGCAGGCAGCCCCCCAGGCTGTCTGCTCGGCGCTAAGCCCGGCCCGGGGTCCCGGTCTTGCGGCTCCCCCCTCCCCTCGGGCGGCCCGGGCCGGCGCCGGGTGTCCGCGGGGCCGCCTCTCCCAACAGCAGCACCACAGGCGGGGGAAGGGTATAAATATTTTCTGCTCCACTTCCCATCAAAAAAGATTAATCAGAACCTGTAACTTTTCAGGAAACATAACTGTAAAGTGCCACGGAGCTGTGGGAAGGCAGCCCAGAGAGGGTGGGCAGATCAGCCCCCAGGCGCAAGGAGAAGCGTCTCTCAGCATTTACTAGACAAAGGCTGGGTGCGTCTAATTATGATTATTAAAACAATTTCCATGACGATGTCTAATATTATGTTAATTTGAAAACAACTGTGTATGAAAACTGTCGACTATAATACCTAAATTCATTTAATGAAACACATCGTTAAGGCAATTAAACCTCCTGGATGTGATTAAGGAACATAATTACGACACTGTTCTGCGCCATAATTGGGTGTCTTTAATCAAGGGGTAAAGTGATCAGCAACACAGCCATTAGTTTGTATTGTTCTGTCTCTGCTGTCCATCATTCTGATTAGGAATTAACCACCGCCACCAGCTTGGCGTGGTGCGTGCCTGTGTGTGTGTCTCTGTGAGTGTGTGTTCGTGCATATAACATCGCAGGACACATTTACTGCAATATTTACCGCTTAATGTCTCTGGCTACCGAGCGGGTTTCCTTTCCGGAGAGGTTCCCTTGGAAGGCGCGGGCGCTGCTCGGCTTTGCCCGGCAGTGGGGTGGGGGAAAATAAGCCAGGTCCCAGCAAACTCCTGGAGCGGCCGGGACCCAAGGTGGGGAGGAGGCAAGGGGCTGGGGGAGGCCCACGTCCTGCCTCCCGGCTCCTGTGGCCGGGGGCAGGGTCCGAAGTGTGCGGGCCGGGCCTGGCGTGCTCCCCGCCGGCTCTGGGGAGCGAGGTCTGTGGCACATGGAGTGGTTTGTCCGTTCACCGCTCTCTCGCCTGCCTCTGCCTCAGAGCGACGGGACAGAGGAATGAAAATCTTTGTCATTCCTGGCTACCGCTGCCGCCCGACTTTGGGCTGTCGCTGTCTTGCTTCCTCTTCGATTGCTTCGGAGGGAGCGACGGGTCCGTGCCAGGTAGAGGTGCTACCAGTCCTGGCCCCACTGTCCAGTCGCGCTGCGCCGGGCATCCTCCCTGGGAAGCGGCGCGAAGCCACTGGGCCGGTCCCTGAGCAGGTCTTGCCAATGCAAGCGCAATGTGTGCCGGGCTGGGGGGAGGAGAGAGGCTCCCCCGCCCGCCTTAAAGCTTGAGAGATCACTTAGCCAGAAATGAACGTGAACCCGTTCAAAAGAGCTGCTTCCCCGTTTCCAACCGCCCCACCGAACCGGGATCTCCCTCAGCCTCATCCGGAGCTCCCTCTGCCCTCGCCGCCCAGCCTGGCTCCCTTCCCCGGCCCCTTACCCCGGCTCGGAGCCTAGATTGTCCCAGCATGAGTGACATTGGCTTTCCTAATGTAATGACTTATGAAAGATATAATCATGTGTTAAATTGAATCCTCCGCTTAACTGTTAATGGTGTGCTCTGGGCACATTTACGTATTAGATGCTATGGTAACTAATTACCACTAGAAGAAGGGATAATACACTTTCCAGACTTTGACAAATAATTATGAGTGTTCACATCCCTGCTAGCAGCAGTTGCAGCGGATCTGCTGGAATGAGTAAGTGAATAAATGAATGGGTAAGTGAACTTGTGTGCATGGAGGGGACTAGATAATGAATAGTGGTCAAGTGAGTTTTCTTATTAAAACCTTTAATGAAAATGTGATTTAGGGTGGAAGGGGGAAAAAAGTGCGACGCTGCCTCGAAACGTAATTAAATCGCGTAATATAAACATCAGAATCATAAATAAGTTTGCTTTTAATTAAAACTCAGCAGTAAAGTAAATTATCCACGTGCTCCGAAACTTTACAGCAATTAACACTTTTTTTTTTTTTTTTTTTTTTTTTTT